CTTTTTGGTCAATTTTCTATGTTGGTCGATTTTCTTCAAATATTTACTCTGAGTAATGAAATAAAATTTCTCAAAAAAAAGTTGTATTTCATTCAAGTCCATGAACTTTTTACAAAAAGATAGACATAGTCTGTCAACAGAACAAAAAATATAAAGTCACCACACTCCTAATGACACTCACTGCCTCCACTCTCAAAGTTGATCTCATCATCAGTCTTAGGGGTCTCATAAGGCTTAAAGCCAAAAAATCATAGGTAGGGAACGCTGTTGAGACCTTTCTCCTGAGCTCATCGTAGCCGTCAACGAAGGCACTGGCCCTAGCCCTCTAAGCAGTATGCTTGACAAAATTCCTTGTACTTTTCTAACCTCTAAACATCACCTTTTAACATGTATAGTTTATGGATGAAAGGGGAGTGTCACTCTCCTATGGGTGATGTCAAAAGAAAGGGCAAGGAGATGGGGTAAAATGAAATGATGACAATGTGATGTGTAAATACACAAAAAGTGTGTGTGTGTACAAAAGTGCTCCCCAAGCGCAAGAAGACTTTCGCGGGTCGTGTTTTACTTGGTGGTATTTAAAGGTTGTTTCTGCAGGGAAGGAAGTAAATCGAGGGGAAGGTGATTTTGGAAAAAAAAAAGTGTAAAATCTTTGGTTGTTGGAAGTTGTTTGGTGAAGTTTATTTTGATGCTAATAAAATGAGAAACAAATGTTGGCAAATCCAAGAGGTTAGTCCAATAGAAATATCATTTCAACTCGAAACCCTCCTCAAATAGAGCATGAATGAACGATTGATTCGTGGGAAGTTAGGTGCTTCAACTTTAATATTGTAAACTCAAGCACAGGTTGAGCGAAGTAATATATTTCTGGGAAGACCGAGGTCGAACCCTTAAGAAATTGTAACAAGAAAGTAATCACACAAATACTAAAACAAAATTAAAAGTAGATGATTTGTTTAAAGAATTGTTGAACGGAGAAAATTGATTTTAATAATTAAAACAGTAATAAAAATACTAGAGCATCAGGTGCTCCCTCTCAATTCCATGCAATAATGATTAAAGACTCAAAACTTAATTTAAAACAATAACCAGATGTTGGTTGATTCGAGTAACAAATCAAATAAGAAAACCAAAAGTTATAATCAAAAGATTATTCAGGAATTTGAATAATCATCCAATTATATTATTTTACGAAATAATGATAATTACCTCAAGCGTGGAATAACCAGTTATTTACTCGCAGAAAAATTCATGCAATAGATGTACATGACACGATAAATCAAGGATTTTTATAGAGCAAAAAATTTACTAAGAAATCAGAAGTTAAATTAACAAAATATCATAAATCATTAAGTATAGAGTCAATAACAATATCATACTTCATTGAGAAGTTCTCCCCTAAGTTTAACTTAGCCTTCTAGCCAGACATGACGAACTAAAATAAAAATATAAAGATGAAAAAAAGAATAATAGTAATCTCTAAATGAGAACCCCTATTTATACTAAAAAATAATCCTAAGTATAGGTAGAAGATATAAGGTTGTCTTGGAAGGAATTTATTTCCCAAAAATAAGTCTTGTAAGGTTAAATCTCGTGCATAAAATCTTTGGGGCGTAGATATAAAATTTGTCCACACTTCGAGTTTGAATTTCACATATTTAGAGGTTGAATCACGAAAAGTTCGTGAAATATACTTTTGTAACCCTTGAAGTCTTCTGTTTAACCTCCAAACATCAAGTAAATCGGATAATGGAGTCAAAAGTTGTGACCAAAATACTGAAAATGTGTCAAATCCTTATCTTCTAGGATACTTTCCTAATCTAATTCTAAATAAGTTTTCTTCCAACTTGAACTCTTATAAAGATTAAATTGTTGGCATATCTTCAAGTCTTCCTATTTCAATCTTGACTCTTCAATCCTTATCAATTATGATTTTTCCTCTTGTGATTGATTCACTTGTATTATCCAATATTACTTTAAATCAACCAATTTACCTACAAAATAAACCAAACAACTAGAAAAAGTATCAAACTAAAAAATCAAGAAATTTAACACATTTAATCACAAATAATATGCAAACCTCCTAACCTGAATATTAGTAGTTCCTAGTAATACATGGATTATAAAATCTAAAAACTAAAAATAACATAACCTAATAAAATAAAACACAAATCCACTTTTGTAGGACTCACAATTGCATTTAGCATATGCAACAAGCCTTTAAACCCCTAGGTTCCCCCTAGTGGACGAGTATAGTCTTGTGAGGGTTTCTAGAGATAATACCCACAAATATCATCCTATGATCAAATATCTGAATAATAATTTTATAACACAAATTGCTACCACAATATAAAAATTCTAAGCTACAAACCTTTTTATAAGTACATGCAAAGCAAAATATAGAATTTTATGCTATATAAATGTATGCACTTATTATGTTCCCATATAAACTCGTGTGTAGTGTGAATTGACTATACTGAGTTAACAATTTATTCGGTAATCACCTCTACAACTATCAATTATTCGTCTCAATGTCAAATCTTACTAGATAATTCACTCATAAAATATTCTCTCAGACTATTCATTTAAATATCACATGTGAGAAGAAAATATTTAAATCAAAACAAAATAATGTTCACAGGTTCCATTAAAAAAAACGTAATCCAAAAGAAAAGGATTTGACATAGTCTCATGAAAAGAAATTAACACACAATATAAAAACAATCATCATTCTCTTCTTTATTCACACAAGTCATGCTTCCACCAATACACTCTTGAAATCAGATAGGACTTTATTTAAAGTTGTAATGGGGCCTTAGGATTAGGATTTTGAAACGAAGGATATTCAGAAATTCAAAAGACTATCCCGAGAGAACATTTATATTACACAACTAAACTTTTTTTCATAGCCTTTCACAAGTATGCAGAACTCCTTTTTTTTTTTTCACAATCTTTGAACATCTTTTTCCAACCAACATTTACCAAATTACATAAGTAATAAATAGCAATATTCTTGTATTTTGATAAATTATTTCTCTGTGTTTTGTGTTTGATCTTATATTCTTGAAAGCCTATATCTACATCAACCAAACCACTAAACTTGTCCAATTCTTCCAACATTTATCAAGTCAAAATCAATACAGAATAATGAGATTGAACAAATCTATAGTCATACCTCATGTCAAATCCTCGTCTTCATATATTATTCATCGTCTACCACTCGTAGATGTTGAGTTTTCTTCATTGTCAAAATGAATAAACTTTGATGATACCTAGAAGAATTTCAACTAAGTATGAACTCAGGAGTTGAGATCAGATTAGGAGATCTGACAAGACATGCAGGGCTCAAGGGACCAGAGCTAACTAATTATTTTGAAATTTTAAGAAGTAAATTTTTTTTAAAAAAATATTATTTTTAAAATTTTAAATTATTTAAATAATTGTCTCTGATTAAACTATTTCATATAACCTATGTCACCACTTTCATTATCTTTGTTTTTTCTTTTTTTTGATTATTATCTTTGTTTACCATCTTACATCTGAATAACAACTGCCTTTGTTAATTACTTAAAAAAATAATTCAAAAAGTAATTTTAGATTTTAATGGATAAACTTTCAATAATGTCTGGCTGGAAAGTGGAAATGGGCTGGGCTGGGATGGCATGGGCGGGGAGGGATAGAGTTGATGGTGGAGAGAAATTATAAAAATTGTGAAAATTAAGGGTCAATCTCCTAAATAGACTTATAATAACTTGAATTTTGGAATAAAACTTATTTGATATTTAAGATCACTTATTTTTTAAATCTCAAAATTATTTCTAACGGTACTAGTTTTGTCCAGTTATAAAAAATCACATAAGTTAGATTATTAAGGTATATATGGAAACCGTTTATTAAATATTATGAAAATCAGCAGAAGTTTTATATGAAAGTTATATATTCTGATAGTTATATATGAAAAACTTAATGTACGAATAAATTATTAGTCTATTAAGTTAAAATCATATTACAAAATTTTCTTAACAACAATAATGCATAATATATGGATGCTAAACAATGCCAACAGAGTTCAGTAATATGAATGTTAATATATAGTAACATTTATGTTACTATATGATTAAATTACAATTATGGTTGTATTACCAATACAGTCGTGTTACTATACTGACACTAATGTTACTGTAGTGAATTTTAATATACAATTGCAAACCTTGAGACGTATATTATATAACATGCACTTTAATTTTTTTAGTAACATCAAAATTTTGTGTTCAATAACACAAATAATTTTACAAAATATAAGACAATGATTTTCTAATTGTTATTATTTTTTTATCATGTTATTATTTTTTTGTGAGCATGTTACTATTTTTTTAGTGATCATGTTATTATCTTTGTTGAGTATGTTAATATTGTTATTTGTTAAATATTAATATTCAATATTAATATTTTGTCGATGGAGTTCAAAGTAAATTGGAATAGTAAATTGAAATTGTATTTTATGGATTGTAATGTGTTTAAAATTTGAATATGAACGATGTTTGGTAAATGTCAATTTCTTGTTTTTCAGATAAAGAAACATTGTGACTTGGAAGATTGTAACCGAATTTGAAGACGATTATGAAGGAAATGTATATGGCTGGTTATTGTGTTCATAAACGTCATTTATAACATTCCTACATAAAAGAGTTACAATAGTAAAAATAATAAAAAACGAACTTAAAACTAAATAAATTTTCTTGACGGACTTATCTCTAAAAAAGTTTATATAAGGAACTGACCTTCAAATTTTTCTATAAATTTTATAGGCAACGTACAAAATTATTTTATTTTAACTTTATAGTATTGTGAGCTGGCATATGGTTATGAAATAATGTAAATATAGATATATAATGTTCTAGAAAATAATCGACCATGCATGCGTATGTGTACGTGGATGTGTATGTGTGCCCCACACACCACGCAGTTTCGAATTTCGATTCTTGAAGAATCCGTCCAACTGTTATTTCTTTTTCGCTCTATCCAACCGGTAGTTGAACAAGAAAGAAGAAACGCATCCACCTCCCTCCCTTCCTTCCCTCCCTCCTTGCTTTTCTCTATATTCGATTCTCCCCACCTTTTCTCTCTCTCAATCCATCTATCAATCTCTCCTCATGTTCCTTTCTTCAATCAACAAAACCCTAACCAATTCTCTCCCATACTCCATTCGACCGAAAGATTAGGGTTTCGCTTTACGAATTGGTCGATTGATTCCACAATCAGTTGAAAACAGCGAGCTTTTCTTTCCCTAAAGAACAGAAAGCTCGCCAATCATGTCAAGGCGATCCCCATTTTCTCTTTTTGTTCTCCTAACCCTCATAATCACCCTCAATTTCCCACCTGCCGTCCGATCGGACGAGAATTTAATCCGATTACCCTCCGATGATGGAGAGCTCTGTCCTGGAACGGTGGACCCTGGTTCTTGCCCGGTCAAGTGCTTTCGGACCGATCCAGTTTGCGGTGTCGACGGCGTCACCTACTGGTGTGGCTGCGCCGACGCTATCTGTGCCGGTACACGCGTGGCGAAGCTAGGGTATTGCGAAATTGGGAATGGTGGTGGTGGTCAGGCGCTGTTGTTGGTTCACATTGTTTGGCTCATTTTGCTTGGCTTCATCGTTTTGTTCGGGCTTCTTTGATCGAGTTCTTCTCTCTCGGCTCATTGATTTAATGATTCATTTTGTCTTGGAGGTTCTTATATTTGATACGATTTCCTTTATTTATGTGTATGGTTTTGTGTATCATTGTGTATTGGAGAGAGAATTTATGGACTAATTGTTACTTTTATTCTTTTTTCACTGATCATTACGAAATTGTTCTTTCCATTATAGTATTGTTTGTTTGATCTTGTAAGTTGCTTGCAATTTCGAATTGTTTCTCCTTGTTCTTTGTCAATGTCGAGTTACTGAGAATGGTAAAGGGGCATTATTTTCAAGTTAGACAAGGTCTAACTTTTTGTAGAATCAGGGATAAACCATATTCAGGCTAGAACATTTCTGCTAATAAAATATATGAGCTTTAATTCCTCTTTTCACATTGCCCTGTTTTATGGAGTTTGTGAGATTTGCATTGACTGGTCCAATCAATTTGCATTGATTCATTCCCTATCCCAGACAGTTCCATCTTTCTGTTTCTGTTTCCGTTTTATGGCTTTAAGGGTTTCCCCTCTCTGCAACTTGCATCTCATTCCATATTTTCGGACTTCTTGAATACATTTTTCCAATTTGTGTATCGGATCCTTGAATTTCTTTAAACATCTGATCACATGAAGGTCTCTGCTGTTGCATCCCTACTCTTATTATTATTTTTTTGTCAGATTCTAATAATCTAATTAGAAGCAAAATTAACAATTTGCTGGGTTGAACTTTGTTGCCAATCTGCAAATTTATAGAAAAACTCTCTAGATTCTGGTATGACTTCTATGGTTTTATAATTCAATTATAATCAACTGTGGAAGCAATTTAGTGAATCATAAAAGTAAACAACACAGTAATTGGATTTTGGATGGAAGGTGAGAAAAAAAAACATGAACAGAGGTCCATATCGTTGATGCATTCTGAATGTATGCTTAAATCCAATGGATATAAATTGCTTTGACAAGGTTGTCTGTCCCTAGATATGAACGTTTTTCAGAGACACTGATCCTGGTTACCTGTGTACCATGGATTGAAGGCAATAGAGAAACATATACGCCATTTAATTGATAGAAACTAACAGAGTATGATGTGGGCTTCAAACGAGAGGTGCATCATTTTTATCTTCAGCTTTGGGGGCAACAACTTCAACTACCTTTTTCTTCTCTTCCTTGACTACCTCCTTGGCCTCAACCTTCTCTTCTATTGGCTTGGAATCCACCTCACTCGTCTCCGTAGGCTTGCTGTCATCGTATACAACAAGCAGCAGTCAGCAGTCAGTCTCGGGGGGGAGGGGGGGGGGGGTGTTTCTTCCACCTTGGCAGCCTCCGGAATTGGTTCAGAAAGATCTACCAAAGGCTATATATGGAAAACTCATCATTACTTCAAAGGCATTGATGATTTTGCTATATAATCCTTTATAATGTCATATATGAAATTGATCAGGAATTCAAGCATTTACAGCAACACGCAAAAAAATTTGTGCATGTGTGTCGCGAAATTGTATTTGGACTGTATCGTGATACATAATACCAGTGCTCGCATGTGTAGAGCTGATGGAATTAAAGAACTTATTCATGGACTGTATGTTTATTGAAATATTATAAGTTTTTATATCAGCTATTGCTATTGGTATTTTTGTGATGATTTTTGTCCTTTCCTAGAAGGATTGAGTTGTCTTATGCTTGATCTGCTTTTTTTTTGTTTGATGCGCGAAGTTAATTTTTAACAGGCACCAACTCAATCAGCTCTATCATTGTCGTTTGGCCTCCCAGTCTCCTCCAGAGGACAACCCTGTAAGCGAGGATGAGGATAGTTTGAGTATCAACAAATTAATCCAGTAAGAAACATCCCATTCTTCTGAGAAAAACAACTCCCAAGACACTGGGGAGTCTCCAGTTAATAATACTCTAAAAGCAAAGTCCCCCAGCAAGAGTAAAAATAAGAAAGCAGATCTCACACCTTTGAAAAAGAGGAATGGAGACAAAGAAGGTAAAAAGATTGTGGGTGCTAATTTAACTGTACTGTAGGGCTTATATATGCAATATCAAGCAATATTGCATATAAATATATTAAGAATATTCTAACCATGGACTCTAAGCCTTTAAAGAGTGGAGTTTGACATGATTTTGACTTCACAGTTTCCTTTTCTTTTTAGAATGAAAACATAGATTCCTTCACATGTTCTAATATATTTCTTCTTGGTAATGCTGCAGGGAATGGGGTTGATGAGGAAGTTGCAAAGAAAGAGACGTCTGTGAAGACTACGAAACCTCGTGTATGAAGCTCTGCAGTGAAAATGCTTATTTGTTGTCTGGTTTGGAGTGTGTAATGAATTTTCCTTAGAGATAAGGAGGTTCCATTTTCCACCTATATAGCATATTTGTGTAGTTTACAGTTGTATTTCTGTAGCTTGATGCACATGTATCAAGGCAGATTGTCTATTTGTTTTTGACATGACTCACGCACTGGTGGGATGTACAAATGAGGAACGTCATATTTTATTGATGGATACCTGTAGGCATATTGTATTGTGTACCATTCACTCAAGTTTAGGAAATAGTCAAGGTATTAAACTTCTTTTTAGTCAATTTTGTGGGAAAATGAGCAGTCACATTGCTATAGAAGGTGAAACTGAAAACTCTCGCATAGCAAGCAGCTTAGCATTTGATGGGACTCTTCTGAAAAGCCCTAAGATGAAGACACGTGTCTTCGGGGGTTTTTGGAACAGTGTTGCTCGGATGTAAGCACCATCGGCAAAGAGCGTCCTTTACCCCGAGGTACCTCTCATATAGGATCACACATTCGGTGTATTATACAATAAACACGTGTCCTCAGTCACACGTGTACCTCGGAAACATACCACCCTCGGTCCCCGAGGTAAGCCTTTCCTCGGTGCCGAGGGTCACTCCATCCTGGACGCTTCCTCTACTCCCGGATAAAGCTACTGACATACTGGACATCAGCCTATGCCAGTCTGGACTATTCATCATGACCTCGTCTTACACAAGTAATGTCAGAACGTTCTGGAATACCGACGTCACAGCCAATAAGGGATGGACGCGTGGCAAATAATGTCACATCAGAAGCAGACAAACCGCATGCCGTTGCTGGCACGCGACTTGGGAAAGCAAACAATTAATTGCACCCTTCTGTTGACGAGACCGCATTCAATGCGGTAAGGTTCGGATATGAAAGGCAATAAATGCTCCTATTGCAGAGCATTTATTGCATCCTTCCCGAAAGGAGCATATTGTACCGTCGGCGTCCCGACAGACTCAGCATTGATTGCTCGGGACCCCGAGCAGTCAATTAGAGAAGACATTCCTCATCAAATCAATACACACGCTACCTGTGCCTGATGATCACCTACTGACCACACTGACAGCAATCATGAGTTTCTAAGGTATAAATATTCCTCCCAAAAGGCAAAGCGGGTATGCAATCACAAACTCTCTACTACAAAATATCCTTCTCAGTGTTTTCTCCTTCCTCTCTCTCTCATTCAAAGACTGACTAGACCGTCGGAGGGGATATGCCGGAAAACACTCCGGCGCCCTTCTAACTTGTTCTCCTTTGTTCCAGGAAATACCTTTCACACGTACAGGATCGTTCTTCCTTTCCCAGGATCTTCCTTTGCCGTTCCAGGTTGCCATCGTACCTCGCAGGTTGTTTCAAGCAGCGTGTTTGGCCACTCAACCTGGCTCACTCAGAGTTCACCAGGGAAGAGATCTGTTCCCAATATTTTATATATCGTGCAGGATCGAGCCCGCACAATCTGGCGCCGTCTGTGGGAAAACGAGTAGTTTTCCTAATCTTTTCTCTATAAAGAACAGTGACCATGGTGAACACCAGACAAAAAGGGAAAGGACCCCACCAAAGGAGTCATGAGTTGCAAGCTCCCTGCCATCACGGAGGGAGGGATCGCACCAGTACGATTAAAAGTGCCTCTACTCGGTCAAGGGGGGTAACCCCCAAACCAGTATGGGGATCAGGTCAGGAGGATCAGCCCCCTTGGCCCGTCAGCTGGCAGAGGTGATAGAAGAGAAATTTGGCGATAGATTACGTCAGCTGGAGAAGGACAATGTAAACGTCCTTAGCCGGCTCGACGAGTTTGCCGCCTCAGGCGGAGGGTCGAGGGATTCATTCCTTTCCCGAGGACTCCCCGTCCATGAGGCGGAGACAAAGGATCTAAGAAACCACCTGGATCACAAAGCAGAAAGCTCCAGGGCCCCGAAGCGACCCAGAGCCGGCGAATGCCATCTTGACAACCATTCCAGGAAAGCGAGGCCATTGGCCCTGGACGACCTCCGGCGAGGTTTATCCAGACGGAGGAAGGGAGATGAATCCGAGGAGGACTCAACCCAATCTACACGACGCCCAGGAAACGAGGGGCTTACCGACGAACCCAGGGACTTCAGGAGGCATCCCGTAAGGGAAGAAGTAGATCTCAGAGCCCGATTAGACTCCAGAAGAAAGGGTAAGACTGTCCAGGACGAGGCCGAGGACGAAGTCATGCAAACACCCTTCACGAGGGAAATCAGTGAGATGGATGTCTCAAGAAAGTTCGTCGTGCCACGGTTCAAGACCTATGATGGGCGATCTGATCCCGATGCCCATATCAGACAATATAAGCAGATGATGTCCCTCTATCATTCGGACCAACGGTTTCTATGCCGGGTGTTCCCTATGAGCTTGGGGGACTCTGCGATGAGGTGGTTCGAGGCGCTTCCCCCAAACAGTATTGGGTCCTGGAAAGAATTGACAAGGCAGTTCCTAACCCGATTCATCACGGGGAGTAAGCGCCCCAAGGACATTGGATCACTGTTGACCCTCAGAGGAGGGAATCCGAGACTCTTCGCCAGTACGCCATCCGATACTGGGAAGAAGTCAATGAGGTCGAGGGATGCTCGGAGGTCATGGCAGCAGCATCCTTCCGGCTCGGCTTGGCGAGGGACACGGACCTGTACCGATCCCTGACCAAAAAGACTCCCTCGGATATGGGGGAACTGATGGCCCGGATCAACAAGTACTCAAGGGTCGAGGACGAGATGGGAAGCAACAAAGGCCGAGCCCTCCAACCCAAGAGAAAGGAAAAAGAGCGCGAAGATATTCCCCGGAAGGGATTGCTACCCCATCCAGGGGGTTCGTCCAGAGGAGTTCACACCGTCTTCAAGGAACCCATCTTCAGGTTGCTCCATAAAATCAAACACGAGCCGTTCTTCAAATGGCCGCCCAGGATGCAAAGCGACCCCTCCACCCGTGATCAAAAAGTAAGGTGTTCATATCACCGGGATGTCGGGCATCGCACCGAGAGCTGCAGGGTGTTCAAGTCATTCTTGGAGAGCTTAGTCCGAGATGGATATTTGAAAGAATACATAGAGCCTAGGCCAGAAGAGAAACGAGCCCTTGCCCCGACCGAGGAACCGGACAACGTCATAGACGTCATCCATGTATGTCCGCTGGAGCGCCCCACGTCCAAAGAGCTCGAATCCGACCTCAAGAGGGTAGCTTTTACCAGAAAGGTAGCCGAGGGAGATGTGGGGCCATCAAGTAAAAGGGCCAGGATGGGTGAGCTTGGCATTACGTTCTCTGACGCGGATTTGACAGGCGTGGTGATTCCTCATAACGACGCCCTTGTCTTGACCCTAAAGATAGGGAAATTCGATGTCAAGAGAATTTGATAGATTCAGGGAGCTCCTCGGAGGTGATGTACTTCGAGACTTTGAAGCGGATGGGCTTTGGCCCCAAAGACTTAACCAAAATCAGGACACCCCTCATCGGGTTCAACGGCTCTTTCGCCTTGCCCGTGGGGAAAATTACATTACCGGTCGCCACTGGTCCCTTCGTCATCGACACAGAGTTTGTGGTGATCGACACGGACTCTCCTTACAACGTGATTATGGGGCGAACATGGCTGCACGCGTTGGGAGCGGTGCACTCCACTCTCCACCAGAAGTTGAAGTTCGCCACGCCAGAGGGCGTCATGGAGATCCGGGGGGATCAAGCGTCTGCGAAGAACTGTTTTTATTCGGCCGTCCGAGCCGGGGCGTCCAGCCAGGAGAAGGGGCGAGCACCGGAAGAGATCATGGAAAAATAGCAATTACAGTCCGGGCGTCCGGGATGGATGACCCCCGGTAGACCCAGCTGAACGATCGGTTGAAGACCTCCGGAAGGTGCCCTTGGTTGAAGGAGAAGAAGAGAAGTATTTCCTAGTTGGGACCTCGATGCCCGCAGCCGAACAGGAGGAGATGATCAGGTTCTTAAGGGGAATACAGACGTGTTCGCCTGGAACGAAATGGAAATGACAGGAGTAGACCCTGAGATAATTACTCACAGGCTGCATGTTGACCCATCTCACAAGCCAGTAAAGCAGAGGCCACGACGTATGGCCCCGCATCACACCAACGCGGTCAATGAGGAAATAGACAAACTCCTAAGAGCCGATGCCATTCGAGAGATACAGTTCCCAGAATGGCTGTCCAATACAGTGTGTGCAAAGAAGAAAGGGGGGAAATGGCGTGTCTGCGTGGATTTCACAGATCTAAACAAGGCATGTCCCAAGGATGACTACCCCCTGCCGAAGGTGGACCAGCTGGTAGATGCCACAGCCGGATATGAACGAATGGACTTCCTGGATGCCCGAGCAGGATATCATCAGATCCCTCTCTATGCCCCGGATCAAGAAAAGACGGCATTTATCACTCCGAAGGGAGTTTATTGTTATAAAGTGATGCCGTTTGGATTGAAGAACGCCGGGGCAACATACCAAAGATTGATGAATCGGATGTTCAAGAAGCAGATCGGCAACACCATGGAGGTCTACATAGACGACATGCTGGTAAAAAGCAAACGGAGTGGTGATCATCTTACAGACTTGGCGGATACCTTCTCCACTCTCAGGGAGTATGGGTTGAAGCTGAATGCAGCGAAGTGCGTCTTCGGAGTGGAGTCGGGAAAATTCCTCGGGTATCTGGTTAGTCAGCGAGGAATCGAAGCCAACCCAGATCAGATTAAAGCAATCCTGGATATCCGAAGCCCTCGCACTGTCCGAGAAGTCCAGAAACTCACAGGGATGCTGGCTGCACTTAACCGATTCGTCTCACGCTCCTCGGATAAATGCAAACCCTTCTTTGGAGCAATCAAATGTGCTGGGAAGAGTATGTGGAGCCAGGGGTGCGAGGACGCCCTGGCTGGGATCAAAGAATACCTGAGGACTCTTCCGACCCTGTCCGTCCCCATCCAGGGGGAGATGTTGTTCCTATACCTGGCAGTTTCAGAGTTTGCAGTAAGCGGAGTACTTATCCGTGAGCATGAACACCGACAGAAGCCGATTTACTACATCAGCAAGGCGCTCCTGGATGCAGAGACAAGATA